AAAGACAGCCTTCCTTTGAGTGATCCCCTAATTAGACCACTCGACAGGAAACAACCAGAAACACACTAGTCACCACTACCTAGTAAAACAATAAAACACTGGTACTGGCGGCCTTAAGACTGTGCTGGGTGCTAGCCACCCAGTCCCACAGCCAGGAAAACTACTTAACCAAGATCCGAAGACCAAGGCAAGCAGTCAAAGAGAAAAAGAAGTGGAGTGGTTGGTACCTAAACACCTAACAAGTTAGGCTGGCCAGTCAACCGGAAGACAAGAACAAAGAAGTAGGGCGTGTCTGCAAGAATAACTGCAGCTAGTTGATACCTTGACAGCAGAGTTATGGTTCCATGTTACCAAGCATAGCTCCTCTACTGCAAGGGTGAAGAACCTGACGCATGTAAGTACCTGCGTCAGGTAAATATGCTGTTGTTTCCGCCGCTCACCTTATATATGTGATGATGATGAGACGCAATTGTGGTAGTTCGGGGTTTTCCCTCTTGTCTTGAACGTCATGTGCCGATCTAGAGAATGAAAAAGTATGTTAGTAAAATTGTATGTAGTTGATTCGGTTCATAGCTGAATGAAAAAACACGCTGATTAGAAATACGGTTTTCATGACGTGCAGGTCCGCGATGGCCAATAATCCGCGTTTGCTCAGTGGAAGGTGATATGTTTCTCGCGATACTAGTTCGTTCTTTTTTCCCCACAAGAAGTTGAATACTGCCGATATAATCTTGTGACTATCGGCTCCGGAAGCAGAAACATGCTCGCCAGATACACTATCGTCGCGATGGCATATGTTCGTAGTATAACCGCTTTGCCTTTCATTGTTAGTTGTCTCGTCAACCACTGTTCGAGAGTCTTTTCGACTTTGTCGGTTGGAGTTTCCCAATCTTAGTGCATATCATTACCAATATTAGCGCCCAATACCCAAATGTTGGTAGTTCTCCACTTAATTGGCACTGGACCCATCCTCGTCCCCTGGGCCTCTCGGCCGCGTGCATCCTCCCTAGGCCCTGGGACACACGGAACCGGAAGTGCAAGAAAACTTGCAGTAGTTTCTAAAGCGCATGCTCTTGAATTGGGGACACTTTAGCACCTGTAAGAATTTTCACAGTGAAGTATTAAGAAGTATTTGTGTTGACATATGTTGATAGAATAATTTTGCCCAGCGAAAACTGCTCAACTTCTGCGAAATAGCAGTTCTCTGAGAAGCCAATCAGATCTCTTCCTTTAGTCGTCTATCCCAGAGCCTAATTTTCAACGATTGACCGAGTGAAAATGGCTCTGGGGACGAGAATGGCACTGGACCATGCTCTCTGCCCGCTTGTTGTCCGATATAAGCCCCTTCAGTTTTCCCCATGTTTAATTTTCCAACGCTCGCTCTTTCGAAGTTATTAATTTGGTCGAAAGCTCGCGGTACAGATAAATCATCCTTGAGAGTCAGAGTACCGTCATCTGCATAAGCAGAAATCTTGCTTGTTTTCGGGAACCCGGGATAGAGACGCCTTCAATTCGGCTGTCGTTTCGAATGGCATTAGATAGTGTCTCGATGATCATAGTGTAGAGGAGTGGTGACAAAGGGCATTCTTTACGAACACCCCGATGCAAGTGGATTCGTTCCGACAGCCATCCATTATTAGTGATACAGCAGTTCGCTTCGTAGTACAAGGTTTCGATCCACCGGATAAAACTAGGTCTTTACTTTAGTTTTTTTCAAGATCTGGGTTAGGAAGTCCTGATCAATCCTGTCAAATACCTTTTCCTGGTGGAGCCTATCAGAATAAGGTTTAAGTTCTTGGTGGTTGCCTTGTGGGCCATATGTCGCAAACGTTGTACACTGTAGAAAATTGTCCGCCCCGGAATGCCACACGTCTGGTCTTCGTGTATCACCTTCGGGAGTGTGGGTCGAATACGGTTTGCCAGGAGGGTGGAAAGGAGCTTATAATCGGTATTCAGCAGGGAGATGGGTCTCAAGTTGGGAAGGAGATCACGCCTACCTTTCTTAAAAAGCAGTCGTAATAATGATTCACGTTGGGAAAATGATATTGCTCCGTTTAGGTAGTTAGCATTAAGCACCTCGCATAGATCCGTTACCAGCTCTGCCCAAAAGGTCTTATAAAATTGTACAGGTAATCCGTCCAGGCCGGGTGATTTATTCAAATGCATTTTTTTCAATGCTGCTGTCAGTTCGTCCTATGTCACGGGCCCTTCGCATGTAGCCCTGGTCTTTTCATCGAGCTTACGGTCTAACTGGTTGAGAAAACTGTCTTGTTGTTCGGTGTCTACCGGATCATTGGTCTATAGCTGTTCGTAAAACCGCCTTGCCTCGGCCAGAATCTTGTTCGTTGGAGGTGACTTTGCCGTTGTCAGTACTCAATTTGGAGATGCACGCTTGATCTTGTTTCGCTCGTTCCGAGTTGAAAAAATACTTAGTCGGTTTTTCTCCCTCTTCTAACCAGGTTGCTCGGCTGCGTACCTTTACCCCTTCGATGCGCGTGGTCACAAGCTGGTTAATCTGTTGTTCTAACTCGTGGATACGATTTGTGTCTGGGTGTAGTTCATTCTTCATCATGGTCAATTTCTGTTGTAAATTCGCCTTGTTCTGTCTTCGATTTCGGGCCTTCCGCACCGAGTGGCCAATGGCTATCTGTTTAAACCGGCACTTGGCTTCGTCCCACCAGTTCGCGATGCTTTTGAAGTTTTCTTTCCTTCGTACCCAGTATGTGTAAAAGGTTTGTATCTTGCGTTGAAAAGCTCTGTTTTTTAAGATAGAATTGTTCAATTTCCACGTCCCTTTGCCTCGTGTTTGTAACTGGGTTAGCGTTGTCACTATTTCGACGACGGAGTGGTTGGAGTGAGGACACGCCCGAATGGTTGAGGTGGTCTGTTGTTGCAGAGCTTGGGGCACATACCATCGGTCCAGCCGGGACCTTAGAGAGGACCTTAGTCGTGGTTGTTCCAGGTAAAGATCTTATCTCGTTCATGTGTGTCACACCAAATGTCTACAAGTTGGTTTGCATTGCGAAAATCATTAAGTTCAATTATGCCAACCATTCCACTTTGTGGATTTCCCCCTTGTTTATCTAGGGATGTGTTCGTTACACAGTTAAAATCACCAGCCATCATCAGATTGTGGTCTCCTGGTTTGAAGTCCCACAATCATTGAAGAACGTCTTGCATTCCCTCTGTATTGTAGGTGCATAAACATTCATTAAGTTGATGCCAGTTCCGCTTATATTTACAGTGGCTGCAAGTATGTGGCCGTTATTGTCTTTCTGTGTGTTAACTATTTCGACTTGCGCTCGTTGATGGAAGAGGATTGCCACTCCACAGCTGTGGTGTGTACCTCTGTTCCAAATGCAAGTGCCCCCCCCCCCCCATTCCGTTGTCCATGTCCTTTTCGTCCTGTTCAGTCTCATTGTGCGTTTCTTATAGGAAGATAATGTCTGCATTGAAATTTCTTAGATAATCAAAAATTTTGTCTCGTTTCTGTTTTCCACTATGCCCCATTAACATTGAGCGTTCATCAGTCTCACTTTGAAGGTGGTATTGATGTGATGAACAGGTTTCTATTGTGGGCCGAAGACACCACAATAGGCACTTTCCGGTTCTGTGTGTTCTTTCCTTTTGGTGGCTCGTTGTTGTTGGTTCATGGGGGTCCCGTGTGTTGCTCAGTACCTTCCTTCAAGGGTGGAGGGGTCGTTTTCAAAGTTTTTGGTGGTGGTTTGTCCTCGTGGTTACTGTCCGAGTCACTATCGCGGGTGGGTGTTGTTTGGGTGTCCATGTGCTGAGGGTCTGCCGTGTCTGTTCTGCGTCATCGCTTTGTTTTGTGGTGGTGTTCTCCTGTTGATCCATAACCTCGTCAGGGATTTTGTTTTCAGTGTCCCAGCCGCTTGAACCCCAGTCTCTTTCCGACGCTGGTTGGAATGACGTTGCGTTGGCATCCTTTTCTGTTGCATTTCCATCATTTGACCTCGGGATCCCGTCCTCTGTCGTATTTTCATGCATTGACCTTGGGATTACATCCTCTGTCGTTTTCTTATTGGTGCTGTCTGTGATTGTTTCTGCAGTTTGCTCAGTGTTCTTATCTGTGTTTTCTGTGTTAGTGTCTTTCGTGTACAGGGCAGGATAGTCTTCTACATACTTTGCACAGTCTTTCTGTTCATGCCCTTTCCCTTTACAATGGAAGCACCGTTTATCAGGGCACTCCCCTTTCTTATGGCCCGTTTGCATCATGGCCTTTCTTCGCAGCCTGTTTGCATGCAGTTGCGGCAGGTTTTCAGTTGATCTCTGTACACTGTCCGTACTCGGAATTTACCAGCATAAATAAAGGAAGGGATGTTCTCGCTAAGGCTTTCGAATTGTGCGTGTTTGATGCCTGTTTTAATATTAATACAAGCTTCGAGGTCATCAGTAGCTGATACAAGTTTCCCGTACAGGTTTAGAGTCTGTTCCAAGATTTTACTATCCATATCTAGAGCGTATCCGAAAACTTTAACCCATATGTATGTAGGTCTTCTTGGTTGCGGTGATCTAACGATTTAAGTACAAAATTGAGGTTGTGTAACTTTATCTCTTTCCCAGTAGCTTCGGTGTGTTGTTGTCTGGTGTAGAACACAATATACCAGAACTTCTTTTCCATACATTCAATGCCTTCGATCGATTGTTCGTTTATTCCAGCTTCAACCAAACTGTTGAAAATTTGCGGTCGAAGGAGGAAAGGACCATCTGTGGTGGCCTCATCTGGTAAACCCTCCAACGAGAGTTGTAGTGATCTGGGTCGTGCCATCCCAGTGACAGGATCTGGCGGCCAACCAGATGTAGACCAAAGCGGCAAGCGGTTTGGCTATTCGGCCCGCGGGAGGGTTCCTCAAAGAGACTTCGGCTTTAACCTCAGTCCCCCTCCGGTCCTTGCCTTGGGCTAGAGACCTCCCCACTCACACACTTACCAACTCGTAGACTTTGGGCTCCTGCCCCTTTTTTCTCTTCTTGCTTGCAATCGAGTCTTGTACCCAGAGTCCAGTCTCCAGAATCCAGGTTTTTCACTGGAACTTTCAACTTTACTCCCGGCGACTAAGACCAATAACACTTGATCTTATTTTGAGTTGAACGACGAAGACCACAAGAAAAACAAAGCCGCTTTTGGCCTTTATAATAAATACAACACCAATGTCCTGCAATGCGAAGCCGAGCCGGAATATCACGCACAACTTCCATTAAAAGATTACAAACACCAGTGTAAACATGCATGTACTGCTCGCTTTTAATTAACTTAATATGCCCAGATTTTAATCTCCCCAATATTGACTGGTCAACGGGCATGGCAATTACTGGTGAAGCTATTGGGAACGCTTTTGCTAAAACAGTTAAGGATAACTTTTTGTGTCAGTTAGTTGATTTCCCGACCAGAGAAGATAATATTTTGGACTTGCTTCTAACTAACGTCCCAGACAAAATAGTTAATGTTCAGGGTTTTGAAGATATTCTCGAAACGGATCATAAACATATAAGCTTTCAGATTGACCTTCAAATTAAAAAAACTACCAAAAGTGAAGCGAACTATATACAATCTATGCAAATTGATGGGACTTAAAGAAATGCAAATTGGATGGGACTTAAAGAAATGTTGACACATGCGCCTTGGGATTTGTGCTTTGTGATCAGTGATGTAGAACAATCGCTATCAAATTGGTATGATATGTTTATGTCAATTGTCAATGACAACGTACCCAAACTCACCATAAATAATGCTAATGATCCCTCATGGATGGATACAGAGCTGCGACAATTATTGAGAGAGAAAAATATCCAGGGACGGAAGGCCTTAAAATCTCAATCACTCATCGATCTCGAAAAGTATAAACTTTTAAGGATCCAGTCTAAACAATTGATTAGTAAAAAGAAGAAAGAACATGCTTTAAAAATGAGGGACTCTGTGTTCGAAAATCCCAAAAGAGTTTGGTCATATATAAAGAGAATTACAAAGACTAATCAACAACCAAATTTTCTCAGAGATGAACAAAATTTTGTCTCTGACCCTGTTGGTATAGCCAATATGTTAAATCATTTCTTTCACTCTGTTCTCAATTTCGGCACTAATGAACCTCCTGATTTTTCTCCAATTAACATACCAGAAAAGCAGCTTAGTAATATTCGGTTAACAGTTTACAAAGTATCTGAGGTGCTCCATAGCTTGGATGCAAACAAAGGTAGCAGTCCAGATAATTTGCCAAATAGAATTTTGGTAAGCGTTGCTGATGAAATTGCACTTTCAATTTGCCGTCTTTTCAATCTGTCACTATCAGAAGGCATAATGCCTAAACGATGGAAACTTGCTAACATTACTGCCATCTTTAAAAAGAATGATCCGACAATTCCATCGAACTATAGACCTATCTCTTTACTCGATATGTTATCAAAAGTTTTAAAGCGGTGTGTTTATAATCACTGTTATGAACATCTACACTCTATGTTCCATTATCTCCAACATGGTTTCCTGAAAGGGCAGTCCACGAATATGCAGTTGTTGGTAGTATACCATCAAATTCTGGAATGTATTGCTAGTGGTCAAGAAGTAGATGCAATTTACCTGGACTTTAGCAAAGCGTTCGATAAAGTACCACACAATCTGCTTTTATTAAAACGTAAATCGTATGGTATTTCTGATCCTACCCTCTCATGGTTTGGCAGTTACTTATCGGAAAGACATCAACAAGTGGTTATCAACAGACATTCTTCTGACTGGATCCCTGTTACATCGGGCGGACCGCAGGGGTCTATCCTCGGGCCGCTTCTTTTCTTAATATACATTAACGATCTACCCACCTACTTAGAAAACAATTCATCAATTGCTCTTTATGCGGACGACTCCAAACTTTTCCACCCTATCTATTTGCATAATGACAGTGTTTCCCTTCAGAAAGATCTCGACAGCCTCAGTCACTGGGGCGAAAACTGGGCAATGGCATTCAATGTTAATAAATGTAAAGCAGTACATTTTTCAAGGAAGAAATTACCTACAGAACATCACTTAATGGGTAAAAACTACTACCTGGCAGGTAACCAATTAGAAAATGTTCCTAACATACTGACCTTGGAATTACTATCACCAACAACCTTTCATGGTCTAAACACATCGAAGAGATTGTCTAACAGAACTCTTGGTCTTGTTAAAAGATTGTGTAGGGATATCAAGGACACAAACACCCGGAAGCTTCTGTATTGTACTTTTGTTAGACCAAAGCTTGAGTATTCCAGTAGTCTTTGGTCTCCTTACACAGGTAAACATCGTTTACTTATCGAAAATGTTCAACGAAGAGCTACGCGGTTTATTCTTAATTACCCAAAAGATATGTCATATCCGTTGAGGCTGCAGAAACTACGCTTTTTTCCACTGGAATTCAGAAGAGAGATTTCGGATTTAACTTTATTGTTTAAGTCCAGAAATGGGCTAATAACTATGGACCGTGAATAAGTACCTGAACACTTACGTTTATTGCTATCGGACACGTAATTACGACCCAAATAACTACAACTTGATTATTAAGCACAAACAAGACTATTATAGCAAGTCGTTTTTCATTATGGCTGCAGAACTCTGGAATATGTTACCTTCTAATTTAAAATCTTGTAATTCAATTACTTTATTTAAGACTAAAATCACTAACCTATGCTTCGGTAAATTAGCTACGTATTGCTTACCTGTGTGAATATTTCTTAGTGTATTGTATTGATGTATAGGGGTAGGATGGCAACTGGGACATTAGTCCTGTATCTAACTCCTGCCAGTCGTCTGTTTGGTAAACTTGTAACTTGCTATATATGTCATTGTAATGTATTGTGGCGAATTAATTAAACTAAACTAATAAGGCCTAAGCTCGGCAGAAATAACTTCATCAGGAATACCATACGATAGTTTCGTAACATTAACCCACGGAAAAGACGAAATCGGCTTAAATACAACCAGCCAACCCCGTAGAGTATAACCAAAATTCTCTGCAGCTTCCAATTTCCGTGCTCCTTTACATGTGACATGAAAGTGACCCGGCGCCATAAAAACAAATGCCTCAAAGGTAGCAAGAAAATTTTCGCATTGGCCCTGAAATTCGTCAATAACTACCCGTACATTAACATCACAGGCTTCTAAGTTATCCGACAAAATAATGTCCGCCGTATGATTCAAAAAAGGAATCAAACTCAATATATAATAGAATACAAATAACCTTAATTAAACGAGTCAAGAACGCGATATTAAAGTGTCATCAAGCACAACACCTTAAACAAAATCGACAAAGAACCTAAAAAGTCCACCCCCCATTCAGTTGCCCCCTACTGGGCCCCTGGATTTGGGAACAACCAGAAATACACTAATATATATATACAAATAACACCACAATAAGCTTGTGGTACACACAAAAGTACACACAAAAGTACACACTCACAAATATAAGGGCCAACTAATGAAGACCAAAAAACTGGGCAGGACCAAGGCTTAGGCAAGACCAAGGCAGGACCAAAGCAACAAAACCAAGGCAGGACCAAGACAGCAAGACCAAAAAATGAGAGACAGGACACGATAACCGCAACAAAAAATGTGTTCTTTGTCAGCAAAAAACGTTCCAAAAGATTGACCACAATCCACAACTGGAATACTTCCAGAATTAGCCAAAAGGCTGAGAAGCGATGCCTTCGCCGCTCGGCCCACATATTTCTACCGGACACTTATGCTATGAAAACGAGGTGAGAAGGAGCTCGCTTGCGAGCGATTATGACGTCGACAAGCACCTCATTACTCGTCGCACGAGCACGGCAAATCCGTGGTGATCGCCTGCCGCGACTCTCGTGGTTCTCTCGCGTACGCACGTGCCGTCGTGTTGAGGGGCAAGACGGCAGTGTGGCATCGACCATGAGACGAGAGTTGCAAACGTATCGGCTTTCGCGCTCTTTAAAGATTCATGAATGCGTCGAGCTTCTTTCACTTGCAAGTTGCATTGTGACCCGGAAAGGTTTCGGGTCATGCGCCGTGAAATAATACGATGTTCTAATATTTACTTGGTATTCTATAAGTTTGACCGGCAAAACACGTGCGTTTGAGTGACACGTGAGCCAGGTAATCGGCACTTGGAATGTACGTGCAATGGATTGAAATTCCATTGGCAAGGAAGTTACTTTATACAGCGAATTAATTTAATAGTGTGCAAAGACTCGAAGTGCTTACAAAATATACACATGTATAGCTTTACTTACCATAGAATATGAACGCGAGATGGAGATTTCGGCACGGAGAATATATATAGAGTGTCTTGCGTGATAGATGATATGTTTGACATCTGATTCTATACAAAAACAATCGACACACGGCAGTGTTAGAAAAACAAACAAACACAGCTTTATACATTTATATTATATGTTGAAAGGGACGAGCGCGAACACAGGTCCCCACTACCAGAAATTATACGCTCAAGTTACCCACATTAGGGGTAATCGCAGTCAACCCAGTTCGAGTCAACCCAGTCGAAGTACCATTAAAGGGCCTCATCCTGAGAGGACCTCCTAGTTGATTAAGGTGCCTCTCGCGTCGGTAAGTTTATGTTTGTTCGAGACAAATTCTCACCCACTTGGGTTAGTGCAATGAATTTGTGTATAACGAGGAGTGTGCACCGGCATGCAAACGACTAGGGAGATGATCCCTAACTCCTCCTTAAATGTACCCAGGTATTGTTATTCTAACGCCCCATTGGGTACGTTTAAGCCTATTTAGTATATATTTATTTATTTATTATTATATTTAAAAACTAAGAACTAAACTAGACAATTAAATAATGCCACCTCCCACAAGAGAAGAGCAGCCAAAGAAGATTCTAATATCTATCTAGGAAGGCAAGAAGATAGTTGTTTCCAATCCCAGCAGTACAACCAATGAAGGCGACCCCCGGTTATAGAACAACAAAGACATTTAAAAAGAGAAGACCAGCTTCTCGCCCTGGAAATGACCCAAGTGACCACTTTGCAAGCCACTCCTTCTCAAAATATTGAACCTGAGTTGGTGACTTGCATTTCCGAACAAGAAAACGAAGGACAAACTTGATTCGAACGATCAACTTGTTGAGACATTCCGACTCAACGGGCATCTTGCCTCGAAACCAATAATCACAACGAGCTACCCAAATGATGTCCTTCATCATTACCAATGGAATCAGCTCGTCGACAGTAAACTTGTTTGCTGTAGGATCAACCTGCAGCAGGTTAAAAAAGATCCATCATGTCACAATCCTAGCAACTCAACATTCAAAAAAGAGATGCTCCAGTGTCTCCTCGTCAGCTCCACAGAAGCACTGAGGATCTACATGAGCCATCCCAAAATCATGTCTTAAACAGGAACCGGCGTAGAGAACACCGTGAGCAATTTTCCATTTCAAATCTATGACGAAACGGTCCAAAGTGGTATGTGCAACTGAGCCCAGGTTTGAGGCCAATGCAAAGGACCATAGTCGCCATAGAAATGTAATATGCAGGTTGGCTCATGGCACCGTTGTTGTCCAAGACGATATGTGTTACAAGAGGACAACTGCGATACAGACAAAGGCGTATCGGAAGATGCCTGAAACGTGAGTTCATCCCCTGCCCCGTCCCCATCCAACTCCCGCCAGGTGCAGAAGATGATATGATAAAAGGGAGGCAGGTCGTTCATCAAGCGACTAGGATGAATATGTTTAAAAGCCTCTTGCGGGGACCTGCCCAAGCAAGAGATGATAAAAAACTTGAAAAAGCTCTTCCATTTGGCTGTTTCTGGAGTGAAAATCCTTTTCACCCACTGTAAAGTGAAGGACTCGGCCTTCCTTTCAAAATCGATGACACCAAAGCCTCCCTTAGACTTTGGGAGACACACAGTGGTGCGGGCTACCAGATCTTTTTTGCCCGACCAGAAAAAGGACCAAAGAGCTTTTTTGATACGTTTGGACGCCCACGCCGGGATTGCAAAGACATGGCACAAGTGCCATATCTGCGAGAGTGCCAAACTATTAATGATGGTCATTTTGCCCTGTAACGAGAGCAAACGACCAGACCAGGCGGACAAGCAGGATTCAAGTTTGGCAACAGGCTTTTCCCAAGTTGGGATGGTGTAATCTCCCACACTAAAGGTTGTGCCAAGAAGCGGAAGTTCATTCACCCACGATAACCCAAAAGGGGTATCTGTTCGACTCTTCCAGGCGCCAAACCACATGCCTTTTGACTTGCCCCTATTTAACTTTGCGCCAGATGCTTCCTCAAAGGTGTCCTAGATGTTAAACACCTCCTCGATCAACTCGTTCGTCGTCACTGCGATCGTGGTATCATCCGCATATCCAGAGCATTTGTACTGCTCGATGGAATCAGGGAGATACACACCGGTAACGTTAGGTGACGTACGGCTGTTGACTGCTAGGATTTCAATGCAGAGCACATAGAGGAGAGGAGAAAGAGGACAGCCTTGACGCACTCCACGAGATGCTTTAAAAAATGTAGAAGTCCAGCCATTAATTACCACTGCTGACTCTACATCCGTGTAAAAACGTTTGATCCAGTTACAGAAGCTAGGACCAAAATTAAAACGATCTAAAATGCATAACAGAAAACCCCAATCCGCTCTATCGAAAGCGTTCTCCTGATCTAAACAGAGAAGGGCCCCAGGCAGATCTTCACGCTCGACATACTCGATCAGATCGCGAATGAAAGAGAGGTTTTCTTCATCGTACGACCAGGCACACCACACATTTGATCTGTGCCCACCACCGTACCTATCACAGCAAGAAGACTACCCAAGAGTGCCCTTGTGGCAATCTTGTAATCAACATTTAGGTGGCTTATTGGCCTCCAGTTTTTCGTCTCTAAGTGGTCGTTCTTTTTGTATAATATAATAATCAATCCTCGGCGCTGAGAGGTGGAAAGCTGGCCGGTCTCATAAGCAACGTTGAGAACACAGACCAGGTCAGTGCTGAAGGATTGCCAAAAGCGCATGTAAAACTCCATCGGAAAGCCATCCGAACCTGGAGTTTTACCATGCGGCATGCCTGACAAGGCAGAAAAACACTCCTGCTCAGTCAAAAGGCCCTCACAAGCATCACGTTCCCCCTGGGAAAGCTTGTGCGTCACCTTTGCCAACATGTCATCTTGTGTGACTGCGTCACACTGCCGAGCAGTAAAAAGGGAGGCATAATAACATTGCCACACACCCAAAATGTCAATAGGGTTGTGACACACCTGACCCGATACAGGGTTGCGGATAACTGACACCTTCTGGTGTGCCTGATGTTTGGCTTCGAGCCCAAAGAAATAGGACGAGGAGGACTCCCCCTCCTCTGCCCATTGGCACCTAGCACTTGTTTGTGCCCCTCGGGCTTCATGCGACGCTATTGTACGTAGGTCTTCCTGCACCTCACAAAGCTGTGCAAAGGCAGATGAATCACCAGCTTCAAAAAGGTGTTGCAACTCATGTATCTGATGTGTCAAGGAGGACTTACGACTATGTCCAACCTCAGCCTTAGTCTTGGAGAACGTACCAGTGACCTCTCGCAGATAGTATTTTCCTTGGTCCCACCAATCCAGCAAAGAAAAGTACTCATCGGAACCCTCCCTACTTTGCCAAAAGGACGCGACAAGGTCACAATACTCTGGATCATCCAGCAGGGAGTTATTGAATTTCCACACCCCTGGACCCCGGAAATTCTGTTCCAACTCAAATTTCACCAGCAAATAAGAGTGGTCACTAAAAAACGAGGGATGATATTCGCACTCCTTGATGTTGTCTTTGAAAACAGTGGGGACCCAAAGCATATCTATCCGTGAAGCAAACTGCCCAGACCCATGGGTCCAGGAGTAGGCCGTCTGACCTGGATGTAATGTTCGCCATAACAGATATGTTTGGGTAGCAGAAAGCAAAGATTGTAATGCCGGTCCGCTTTCCTGATATTGAGTCATCTGGCTCCCAGTGTAAGTAGACCGAAGATTCCTATCCAATGCACTGTCCAAGACACTGTTAAAATCCCCACAGATAAATGTGGGGCGACTCAGGTCAATAAGTTCAGGGATGGAGGGAAAGAACCGATTACGCTCCGGGTTCTTATTCGGAACATACAGAGTGACGAAAGAAAGCAAGTGTTCGTCAGCCACCAAATGCACTTGCACAAAATGGCCCTCCTCATCCCTAATGACCTTATTGACCTTATAGGTATCCTTTACAAGAATGCCAGTGCCACAAGATTTATTTGACACCTTAAAACCTGTATTACAGAACCACTTTCTTATGGTCTTGTGCGATTAGGCATGTATCTCCTGGAGACACGCAAAGTCAACCCTCATGCACTTAAGCCAGTCCACAAGTGCGGTTCTTTTTAAGCGGTCACTTAGACTATTAACATTCAACGATAAGAGATTGAATGTTAATGCTCCAAAGAAGAGGAACCATCTTCCTTCACAACTGATGCTTTGTCAAGTGCCTGCGACAGGGTGGCAGCATCTTCCAGACTGTGTGAATCAGCGGCAACATCCTGAAGGAGATGTTCAGTAAAATCAGCGGCTTGCTGCAGACTTGAAGTCGTACCTGCTCCTGACGAAGATTCGACATCGGACCCGCTGTGACCTGATTCATATTCAAAAAACATATCATCATCTGTAAGAGGCCCGCAGTTCGAGTTGGCCTCTTCCAGTGTTACCTCCTCTGGCAAAGGAATGTCCTGAGGGGGATGCAGGTTACATTTTGGGTCGTTGGGACTCACAGAATCTGCAGATTCTGCTACAAAATTCCTTGAATTGTCAGCACCAGACACTGAAGATGAGACGGTCGGCGATTCTGTCACAGGCGCAGACTGTGCCTCCATCATCTCCTCAACTTTTAGGGGTGCAATTGGATCCGTCAAGACAATCCTCTGTGGTATTAATTTGGCCTAAAGAAGCGACATCAGCAATGTTCTTACTAGGCCCCTCCGCCTCATGTCCCGATTCTCTTTGGGACTTTTCACAACACTTAACATGCTTTGAACGAGGCTTTGGGGTAACTGACATCGCTGCCAAACTATCATCACTCTCCTCACTGCTAGAGGAGACATGCCTAGATTTGCCTTGTTTACGGGCAGCAGCAGCCGGGTTGGAAACAACAACTTCCAACTGTTTGCCGGGCTTTTCCGTGACTTTACGACTAAAGTCAGTCACCATTGAAGACGATGATGCAGCTGTCTTTGGCAGTCGAACGGACAAATCTAGGTCGAAGGCCTGAGTGGAAGGGGCCAAGGGAGTAGCGTTGCGACGGGCGATCAACTTATCCCGTAAATCACGCTGTGCTTTCTCAAAAGCAACTTGGACCTCTTTTAGCACTGGTGTGTGTGGAGGTTGTACCTTCCTAGCTTCCTCTGAAGCTCTAGCCCTATTTAATTTGTCCCTCAGGTCAGCAGGTGGCTTTGAGGATGCAGGTGACTCCTGTGATGTTGAAGGAGGCACATCACGCTGCTGTGAGGGTTTGTTATTATTACTATTAGCAGAATGTGCACCAGTCTGCTTGCAGACAGGTTGCTTACGGTGCGGCCTTTCGTGATTTGGGGCACTCCTTAGCCGTATGCCCCACCCACCTCCTGGCATACGTAACAAGTTGGAACTTGACCCCTATAGCAAATAGTCAAAGTAAACCCTGCAACCTTTAATTCCGCAGGAATTTATGTATTTACCGACATTGACACCATACGAGTCCCTGTTTTTATGGTCGGAAAACCATGCATTGTCAGATGTTGTACGGAAATGACTCGACCGTATGGTGTCAATGCCTCAAAAAGATAATTATCCACCATTTGAAGCGGAGCACGATCAACAAAGACCGACTTGGCCTCTTCGTAGGCAGGAAATGGCATACCCACTAAACGACAGGCCATTCATTTCATATCTGACACGTATAGAGGGGATTTAAATTGCACGCCGACCTTGTGGTTTGGCAAGATCTGAACTGTTGAAACCTTCTCCGCGCCAATTGCCTTGACAAACTCAGCCCGTAGCTGAGGAATTTTGCCCTTACCCACCAAACGTTTAGGCACATGGAACGCAGATGTTGTGGTGTTCCACTTGGCAAAATCCACTTTGGTAAATGGGCGACTTGACATAGTTATAAAATTTAGAAAAAGGTGTGTTTATAAATCAAGGTGTATTATAAAAACTGTCAACAGAGATGTAACCGCGACACAAAACACACAGTAAAATTAGCAAAAAAACAAATAAAACTGATCCATGCAGAACAACACCAAAAGGCGACCAAAGTTCACAGAATACGTGAAAAAACTAATCAAACCTACTAATACACCAAATAAAAGAACACCTGTGTACCTGTCTTAAAACAACAGACAAGCAAACAGGTAAAATTGCAAATGCAACAGCCTCTCCCAACTGAAGAGCAACAACCTTGCATTTATAAAAACAACGTGTGCTTTGCCAAGGAACGAACGCCAGGGAACAGACTATATTGGTCCAAGACTATATTGGTCCAAGTCTGCAACAAAAGCAAAGACAAAGAACAGCAAAAGGCAACCTTCCTTTGAATGATCCCCTAGTCAGACCACTCGACAGGAAAACAATCGCCAGCACTGATGGTGGCACCAAGCAAAGACAACTCCTTTACCCTCTTGATACCAAAAGGGGTGTCCTGACGAGCTTTCCAGGCCCCCAACCACAAGCCCTTTGGAGAAAGGACCAATGCACCCAATCAAAAGCCTTCTCTTGATCCAATGAGAGAAGAGCAAGAGGGATATCCGCCCGATCGGCATACTTGATCAGATCACACATCAGCATCAGGCTCTCAGAGATGGTACGACCCAGGATGCCACACATTTGGTCATAGCCGACAATCGAGCCAATAACGCCCAAAAGGCGGCCACAGATAGCCCTAGTGGCAATTTTATAGTCCACATTCAGTAAACTAATTGGACGGTAGTTTTTCGTTTCAAGGCGATCATCCTTCTTCTACAAAACGATGATCATGCCCCGACGTTGTGAGGTGGAAAGCTGACCTTGTTGGTAGGCATGGTTAAGAATACGAACAAGGTCTGGACCAAGAAGGTCCCAAAAAGAAAAAAGAATTCCATTGGGAATCCGTCAGAACCCGGCGTCTTGCCATGGGACATGCCGTGAAGAGCAGCACGACATTCCGCCTCTGACAACTCCCCTTTACAGGACTCGACCTCCGACTTGCTCAAATGGCGAGTTAAACGACCCAGCATGATTTCCTGCTCGGATCGATCGCAGTCCTCAGCCGTGAACATGCGTTGGTAGTAGCACCATGTCGCCAAGTTCTCAAATGGATCATGGTGAATGAGTCCTGTGTCAGGGTCACAAATGCTAGTAATTGCCTGCTTGGCCCGGTGTGATTGGTGCAACGAGTAATTTCCTTAACTCTTTTAAAGCACGGCCATTAAACTTAGTACGTGCACATACTAAGTCTGTTTCATTCATACTTCGGTTCAGTAAACGTTATGTAGATGAAAATACCACCATTCGATTCAGTGTAAAAATATATACTAGTTTATAATGATAGTTTTAGTCAATGGCTACATTGTAGCGATTTATAAGCTTTGAAAGTCAAACGGGCTTATATATGATCAAATTATGCAATATTACTAACAAATTATAAACATAGACATACCTTTCGCCGAACATAACTTCGGCCCCTTGAGACGTATGCTCATTCTTGTATTCTTGATGAATGAAGCAGTTAAAAATAACACGTATAGTGTTATTTTCAAGCTTCTATCTTTAAAACGTGAGTTTTCTTGCCGAATTTTGCATTTCTGCCCGAATTTGCGTTAATCCCAAACCGGAAATACGACGAAAAACCGTCAAAACAATGCGTAGTTTGTATCGCGTGACTCTGGAAATGCCAGAAATGGATTCTACAGGTCAAAGTGCACCCATACGCGTGAGTTTGACGTCATCCCGGCTAAAGGGAGCTCCTTATTGGCCAAGTATTACGTAATACAAGCGCGTGCGAGTAAAACCCGATACCTTGAAAAATTCAAAATAAATATTTCTACTCGCCGTATTCATACGAAACTTTCTACACTAAAGCGCTTGAATACAAAGAGTATTTTGCACATATATCCTTTCAGAAAATGACGCCAAATTTTAGAATATATTCAACTTTTTCTCTTTCCCGTTTGAATGTTTGGCGAAGCCGTGAGTATAAATATATGATTGTTTCAGTTTGTGTAATGTTTTGACGGCACTTGACCCCCCGTTCGAAAGGTTATATTGTGAGGATTTCAATGGTGGCATTTATTTAAAAGGGGTGTAAATACTCGCCGAGATATTTATATTAGAAAAATTGTATCGAAATGTAATACGAAACCGGTTGTCGAGAAAGAGTTAAGGAAACATTTCCCTTGATCCCACCAATCAAGGGAAGAGGAAAAGGTGGAAGAAGATTCCTGCGTCTTCCAAAAAGCCCAAAAAGAGCGAACCAGGGCACAATACTCCGGACTGTCCAGCAGCGATGTATTGAATTTCCATACCCCGGACCAGGCGCAAACACGTCACCCAAATGGAACTTGAGCAACATGTAGGGATGATCAGAAAAAAAGGAGGTATGGTACTGGCAGTCAGTGATAGATTGGGGAAGAAAACTTGCCCGAGGCATGATCCCATGAGAAGATCCACTCCGTAGGGTTACAGGTTCCACACAGAGGAAAAGTATGCATGGCAGAAAGCAAGGATTGTAAGGCAGCAACACTTTCACGGGCCGTAGCCCCCTGCAAATGACTGACATAAGACGGATGGTGGCGCCTATCTAAGTCTGGATTGAGGACGGCATTGAAATCACCGCAAAGGAAAGTAGGTACTGCCAAATCAATAAAATCAGGCAGGTTTGCAAAAAAGTGTTGCGCGCCGGGTTCTTGTTTGGCGCGTACCAAGAAACGAAGCGTAACTTGTTCCCGTTGATGTCGATCTCGACCTGCAAGAATCGCCCATCGTCGTCCTTACGAACCTGTGTAAATGTATATATATCTTTAACTAAATTGGCAACCCCACATCGCTTATTTGAAAAAGAAGATGAGGCCACACGAAAACCAGAATGACGGAATCAGCTCAAGATGGTACTTTGAGACGATGCATGCGTCTCTTGAAGGCAAACAATATCTGCTTTCATGCATTTCAGCCAATTAATTAGAGCTGTTCACTTGATATGGTCATTAAGACTGTTTATATTAAGTGTAAGTAAGTTATACATTGTTATTATTGTTATTAAAAAGTCTGACCGGAGACTGATCAGCTAAAACATCCACCTGCTCAGAAGCAGAAGGAAGCAAAGATGGAGGATCATCCTCCTCCTCTGAAAGAAAGGATCGAGCATAAAAGGAGTCGCCCAAAGAATAACACTGAGAGAATGGAGAAACTGGAAAATTTGAAGGCGTTGTTAACCGGCCTTCAGAATCAGAACTCTGCGGAGAAAAATGGTCTGGCGACTCAGGGAAAGCAAGCTCGCTCTGCCGTAACAGCAGCAAAGAAGAAGAGCCTGACACGATAGCCAGAGCATAAGTGGAGCCCCGCAGCAGGAGAAGCAGCGGAACCAGAAGCCCGCCAAGGAGCCAGAGCCTGATGAGAAGGGATGGGAGGTGGAGAAAACCTTGCCGCAGAACTAGCAGCATCTTCTAAAGCAGGCTCATAAGAAGGCACAGGTGGAGTTGTGCCCACAGGGGTGTGGGTCACAGGAGTGCCAGCAGGAGGAAGATTGATCAGGCGATGATGCCTCCATGGGGTGGGAGCGCTGAACAGGCGCACCAGCATTGGATGGGCCATTCCTTGTCTTGCCTTGCTGGCAACGGCGGGCGAAATGCCCGAAAGTATTGCAAGAAAGGCAATAAGGCGGTTGACCCTTATAATGGACCGAGCAAGGGAAGTTCGCTATCTTCACAACCACAGGAATGGGCCGAAGAATAGACATGGTGACCATGCGGGTCCCAGTGCGAATATCCTTATAGTCCCTAACATGAAGATCGCGAATGCTAACGACCCGGCCGTACGCCGACAAAGAAGAAGAAATGTAATTGTTGGGCATATCAAGAGGAGCCCTGTCAACAAAGACATTTGTGAGAAATAACTAACTGTTGATCTTTTAGGAAGATTACAGATGGATCTTAGCACATCAACTAATTTCTTGCGATAGTTTTCTAGCAATTGTCTCATAACTGGACAGGCACGAGGGGCATAAGTTAAGCACGGTTGGATAAACGTTCGAATGGCATCTAACTTTTGCCATGGCGCTAGTAAGGAATCACGAATTTTTTCCACATCTTTAAACAGCTTGTCTGTGATGGAATTCATATCACTGGCATCGTATATTAAACCGATCGGGACCCCTAAGTACCAGAAAGATTCGTCTTTCGTAAGGAAAGGAATTTCTTGATCTTGAACCCTGAAAAGATTACTGGAAACGCGGGAAACTTCATTTTTACCACAGGTTAGGGATAAGGTGCAACATTTGTCTGGTCTAAAAGACAACTTAAGGACATTTGCCGCCGAAGAAACACCATCAAGGATTTCCTGGAGACCTTCACTTGTCCGACTAATTAACACCAAATTGTCTGCGTATGCTAAGATGGATATAGGTTGGCCATGTAGTTTAAAAGCAATATCCGAATTCTCATTACATTTTGAAACTATGGTTCTGATTAGTAGTTCTGATAAGTTGAAGAGAATTGGACTGATGTGACAACCCTGCTTTTCGCCTGCATTAACTTCAATGGGCTCAGATTTCGTCAGATTTCGAAGTTTTAACGGATCTAGTTGCGTTCGAGTATATGTCCTTTATTAGATCAACCAATGATTCTGGAATTCCCATATGGGTTAGGGTGGAATAGATAACCTCACGGAAGATGCTACCGAATGCGTTTC